TAGCTCCAGATGAAGAGTTGTTTTGAACTATGTCAACATTTTTGGCCTCCACATTGTCGACATCTTGGACAGAGTCACTATAAGCATTTTGGACATGAAGATTGTCGGATGGTAGATCCCAAATATTTCGATGATTAGCATGCTCGACGACACAACGAGGGTTGTTAAACTAACTTTATTTTCATTTTAATTTACTAAACTAACTTTATTTTATTTTAATTTTAACATTAACTTTATTTTAAGTCACTAAAAGTATGTTCCTATTAAGTTAGTTTTATAATTAATATAATTTGATTTTATAAAGGTAACTTAGTTTGATTCTAAAAGTAAATTAATTAGATTTTATAATTAATTTAATATTGTCTATTAAGTTAGTTTTATAATTAATATAATTTGATTTTATAAAGGTAACTTAATATGATTCTAAAGGTAAATTAATTAGATTATATAATTAATTTAATATTTTCTATTAAATTAGTTTTATAATTAATATAATTTTATTTTATAAATGTAACTTAATTTGATTCTGAACGTAAATTAATTAGATTTTATAATTAATTTAATATTTTCTTTTTTGTTATTAGTTTAATTTATTAAACTATCTTTATTTTCATTTTAATTTATTAAACTAACTTTATTTTATTTTAATTTTGACATTAACTTTATTTTAAGTCACTAAAAATATGTTGCTATTAAGTTAGTTTTATAATTAATATAATTTGATTTTATAAAGGTAACTTAATTTGATTCTAAAGGTAAATTAATTAGATTTTATAATTAATTTAATATTTTCTATTAAATTAGTTTTATAATTAATATAATTTTATTTTATAAATGTAACTTAATTTGATTCTGAACGTAAATTAATTAGATTTTATAATTAATTTAATATTTTCTTTTTTGTTATTAGTTTAATTTATTAAACTATCTTTATTTTCATTTTAATTTATTAAACTAACTTTATTTTATTTTAATTTTGACATTAACTTTATTTTAAGTCACTAAAAATATGTTGCTATTAAGTTAGTTTTATAATTAATATAATTTGATTTTATAAAGGTAACTTAATTTGATTCTAAAGGTAAATTAATTAGATTTTATAATTAATTTAATATTTTCTATTAAATTAGTTTTATAATTAATATAATTTGATTTTATATATGTAACTTAATTTGATTATAAACGTAAATTAATTAGATTTTATAATTAATTTAATATTTTCTTTTTTGTTATTAGTTTAATTTATTAAACTAACTTTATTTTCATTTTAATTTATTAAACTAACTTTATTTTATTTTAATTTTAACATTAACTTTATTTTAAGTCACTAAAAGTATGTTGCTATTAAGTTAGTTTTATAATTAATATAATTTGATTTTATAAAGGTAACTTAATTTGATTCTAAAGGTAAATTAATTAGATTTTATAATTAATTTAATATTTTCTTTTTTGTTATTAGTTTAATTTATTAAACTAACTTTATTTTAATTTTAGTTTATTAATCTAACTTTATTTTATTTTAATTTTAACATTAACTTGATTTTACAACTAATTTATTATTTTTTTAATGTTTTTTTTAAGTTAATTTAAATTTATTCTATAATTAAATTAATATTACTAGAAGTACGTTGCTATTAATAACCTAATTAAAGCTAAAGTTGTAATGACCAACATTAAGTCACTAAAAGTATGTTGCTATTAAGTTGGCCAAACATTAAGTCACTAACAAATTAAGCACTTTGAAACAATATACAATACATTACTAGAAGTCAGTTGCTATTAATAACCTAATTAAGCCAAATATATACATCCAATTTGCATATTTCAATTTCATCCAATTTCATACAATTAAGCCAAATGTATATATCCAATTTCATACAATTTGCATATTCCAATTTAATCCAATTTGCATATTCCAATTTCATACACTTAAGTCAATTGTATACATCTAATTTGCATATTCCAATTTCATCCAATTTCATACAAATATATACATCTAAATTTCATTTTAAGGCAATGTGGTATAAACATAAATTGCAATCCAACAAATGTATATATTCATGTCATTTTTTTTATACATCAATGTAATCTAAACATAAATATCAAAATATACACAAAATGCATAATTAAATTCCCACAAATCTGAAGAAAAAAAACACACACACACACACAAACCAACAAAATACATACATTCAAACAAAATAATCCAACAAAATATGCATAAGCACTTCATATATTAAAATACAAACATAATGACTCAATAAAATTGAAAAATGCTGACATTTTATCATCTTAATTAACACAAAAACAGAAAAATCATTAAAAAAAGATGAGAAATTCGACCTTGGGGGAAGGAGGGGCAATTTCGGAATTTGCAAAAATGTCTCTGGTTTATGGCTGTCTTGGGGGAAGGAGGGGTAAGCACCGGTCCGAGAAGAAATTCCTACTCCACAAAATTGTCAAAAAATCATGATATTGAAGAAAGATAGAGAGGAAAACGAGAGAAGGTGGAAGGTAAGGAAGAAAATGGCAGAAAGGTAACTTGTGAAGGGGTAATTTGCGTTGAGTATTAGCGGCGATGGGTTTTAGCAGCGATGCAAGCGCAATTGCGGCGACAGTAGGGCATTAGCGGCGACAAGTGGAGGGAAAAGGTAACACACGTTTCCGCTTTCCTCAGCAGCCATTAGATCAAAAGAAAATCGGACGGATGGAGTGAAAATGACGCGGATCGCTAAATCAAAGCATTAGCGGCGACGCCTTTAGCAGCGACGCAGAGCAATAGCGGCGATATGTGACGCGTCATTTACATGTCGCCGCTATTGCTACACTACAAGAAACGGGACCTATAGGGACGAAAAATGTCGTCTCTATAGGTTTAAAAGTCGTCCCTATAGCTTTCGTTACCATAACCCCGTCGCAATAGATATATTTGACAGTCGCTATAAATATCGTTGCAATAGTTATCCTTTAGAGACCACATGTCGTCGTTTTCTAGTTCGTCGCTATATGGTGTTGGTCTCCATAGATGAAGCTATAGAGGCGGCATGTCGTCTCTATAGGTATATCTATAAAGACAACATGTCGTCTCCATAGATATAGGTGTGGAGTCATAGACATACCCTTTAGCGACAACGGGCCGTTGTGGTAGATGTACCAGTGGATATGACATGTCATCTCTATAGATGAACCTATAAAAGCAACATGTTGTCTCTATAGGTATATGCCTATAAGGCTGATTTTTTTTCTCTATAATTTCCGTTTTTACATTTCAAAATTACTAAAGCAGTAAATTTACAAAATAGCTAAAACGGTAAATTTAATTGCAAAACATTAAAATACGATATATTTTCAAAACTCTACATTATTGCAAATATTATGAAGAATAAAATTATTAACTTGAGGAAATTAGCATAATCATCACATGATCATTTGTGTGCATAACACTACATTCTACATGGTTTATAAAATAACACCATCAACAATGGACTACTTCTCATCATAGAGTGCCATCAACAATATATTGCTTCTCATCTTAGTGTGCCCTTCTGTGCTCCTTACAGCTTCTTGCACTCTTCCCACTTTCATTATCTGAACCTGATCATGAATTCAGTTTTAATCATTTTTTTTTTTGAAAAAAAAAAGAGAAAAGGATGAAAGAACTAGGAAAAAGGAACCTTGATCCCGATCCATGGCTTTTCACGTTTTCGTGCACACAAAGTGAGTTGTCTTTTTTCACTTTTTTGATCTTTTTGTATGCATACTCATATTTTTTGGAGGCTTCATGAACAAGATGTTCAACTAAAGAAAGGACTTAATTAGTATTTTAGCTCCACTTCATTCAACAAACAGAAACATTAGAATCAAGATTATTAGGTTGCAAAATTGCATCTTAATGACCAATGTAGCCTACCTCCATTAAACCATGATTAAATTTAAAGAAACTAAAATTCTCTATCACCAATTGGTGACCATGTTAACCCAAAAAAGGAAACTGTAATTCAATCTTTCAACTCTTGAGTGCTATTTATTTTTACAAGATTTTGAAAACTCTTATATATAAGTATACAAATAACTTGTTATAAAGATCAAATTTTATATTAAAAAAAGAAAGTGAACCTTTCGAGGCTTTACAGGGATATATAGTTAATATATGAATCCCTTATGAGGTCTTGCATCAGAGACACTGTCCAACATCCAGTGGAGTCTGAACAGCTTCAACCTCCCCATTGCCAGACCTAAAAAGATAATGATCTATAAAAAAGACATCTTTACCCCTTCAAAAAAATGATCTTTGTAACTTATCTTCAGCAAAATATATAGTGTGTTACCTTAATAAACAGTTACTGGCTGATTGTAATACTCTTCATATCTTCCTTCACTTGCATACTTTCTGTTCTCCTGTGTGATATTTTTAGTGATTCTTTTAGTACAAATGAACCAGTCACGAAGGTCACAAGACATGGCAAAACATCAAAAAGAAAACTAAAAGACCTGATTTGTCAAGGAAAAGAATGAAGAATGAAGAATGATGATAGAATCGCCTCGGAGAAACATCTTGCTGATAAATCTGTCTTTGTTAACTAGAAGAGCTTTCTTCTTGCCTTTTCCTGTTTTTGTGATCTATCATACAAAAACTAAAAAAAAAATCAGAAAATGCATACAAATTTGGAACCAGATATTTTCCATTGAAAGAACTAACCTCAGTCCACATCTCTCTAACATTTTCCAACACCATGTTAGGATTATGAAAATTTGTTGAGGAATAGTTAACTTAAAATGTTTTGTTTATTTTTTGGACTGAATGAATTGCTTGAATAAAAGAAATGACCAATTTACCCTCTGTCAAGAAGTGATGCTTTTTTTTACTACCTTCTTTGCCAATGGGTTACCGTTTATATGGATGGATATGAACAATGGCATTGCTTGAGAATGTGAACCAATGATAACATGTCCTTCCTTTCTTGCTTCAGCAATGTCAAGCAGTCATGTTGTAATAACTTCTTTTTCATGAAACGAAGAGATGTTTCCATGAAGCTGCTCAAGAAATTGAGAACCATGAACATTGTACTTTCAGCCTCATCCTTTTTGGTGCTTCCATTTAATGTCCTGTTATGTCATCATAGTGTACCTATCGGTCAGCATTTAACATAAACATACCAAAATGAACATGTTACTACCGATCAATTGAACAAGAAACTCAAGTTATTAAACAAAGTGAAGAAATTCTTTGCGAATTATTGACCATTATAACGAATGAAATACAGTAAGAGATTCCTCCTTAATAGACAAATTTTCATAATCCTAACTGTGAATATATTACTTGACTTGATGTTATATGTTAAAGTCTATACCAATTACTAATCATCTTTTTCATTACTTTCAACCGGTAAAGAAGCACAATGAATACAGAATGACAATAATATCCAATTATGAAGTATGTTCTAAGTTCCTAATTCCTGTTACAGGTTGACATGACAATGATCGGTGCTGAAAACATATCTCAATGAAAAACAATACCTTTTAATCGCAGAATCAAAATCCACAGATAAATCAATACTCCAAGCTTGAATAACGAACAACTAGAAAGAAAATTAACCGAAAATCGTTGATATGGTTACAGTTTATCAGTATTGCATCTTCAAACAAAAAGCTGCGAGACCATAGAAAATCACAAATTTTAATCGGATGTGAAAATTACTAACCTAGGCCGCTAGAGTGGGGCTTGTATTCGTTAGAATTTGTAATCGGATGTGAAAATGAAGTTGGTAGTTAGAATCGTCGGCTTTGAAGGTAATCGCCGGTGGTCTTCGACAACTAGCATGTGGATCGAGAGAGAGAGGAAGAAGATTGCTAGGAGTGGGAGGTGAGGAGGTTGCCAGGGGAGAATTGTCGATCGAGAGAGAGAGAGAGACAGAGAGAGAGAGAGAGTGAGATTGATGATGGAGCGTGCGTGAATTAAACGAAGGGAGCTGCTCTCCTAATTTCGGGAGTACATAGCTATGGGGACGACGAGTCGTCCCTATAATTATCCCCAAAAAAAACGACCTAATTTTATTTCCGTTAAATTATTAAAAAAAATGCTATTTTTAATTTTTTGTTATTTGTTAGAGCGATAATTCGTCGCCACAAGTATTTCAAGAACGCGCCAAATCAATTTCCTTTCCCGCTTACGGTGTTTAGACCACAAGTCGCCTCTGTAGCTTAAAAAGTCAAAAAAATTCGTCAACTCTTTTGTGACGACATGTCGTCCCTATAGGTAGCCTATAGGGACCACAAATGTTGTCCACATAAATCTCGTCGCTATAGTTGCTTATTCTTGTAGTGCTATGCGTCGCCGCTAAACTTTGATTTATTGTAGTGTAATACACTCTTTGATGGATGTATTTCATTAAAAAAGCAACAAATCAAGAATAATACACTTAAATAAAGGAAAAAAGTTTGAAAATTTTAATTGAATACATAGCGACAAGAAATGTGACAAAGTAAACTCTTGTCTATATAGAATGGCATACCGGGAAAATAAAGTGTACGGGGTCAGACTCGTAGCACACTCTTTGATGGATGTCTGTTATTCACTAATCAATCTTAAGCTTAAGATTAAATCAACATGCAAACATATATCGGCCAAGATATTTTTAGGTATTATTTTGGTTTAGTATAAAATGAGGACTAGTTACTTTTGGTGCACACTTTCCGAACTTCACCTTGAGAACCTGTAAGGACCCCAATCCTGCCCATGTTAACCATAGACACACCAAAGTCCTTGAAGAATGTGGAACCACGGCTAGTAGCTTGAATCATGTAAGCTCTAGTCTCTGGATCATCGAGTAAGGCTGCATCTGATTGAAGAAGCCCCCTCCTCTTTGTCACTAATTTGAAATAGGAGTCATCGAATGTCTTGAAGCTTCCTGGGTCTAACTCAGCAAAAGTGGTTTGATCATTTGGCTTGCACTTTAACTTCAATCTTGCAATGTAGTTTGGGTCCATGGTGGGGTCTGTATCACCTTTACCGGTGAAGTTGTAGAGCCGGCTATCAAATGACGAACAATGAGATATCCCTATGGTGTGCCCTCCTATAAATTAATGATCAAGAATCCACATGTATAAGATTATTAAATAATGCTTTTCAAATCAATATATTCGACTAGCTTTTAAAAATCCAAAGCTGACATTGTTGTTGAAAGAAGTTTTCACGTACGGAATAGAGAAGAATGTACCTGAGAGAACAACAAGGTCTTTCGTGCTTAGGCCCCGTAATGCCCAGGATTGTTTTAAAACACTGATGTTTGAGGTAAATGATGGCAAGCCTGTCACTGGGGTTATGGGATCAATGAATAAAGACACATTTCCATCTCTTCGGCCTGTTTCAACCTCCCAAAATGGTCCCTTAGTCTGTCAACAAATGAAAAAACAAAAAACAAAACACAATTGGTTATCGTGCAACTTGAAATGAAAACTGGATACAAAAAGTCATTTCCGAAATTAAGATTTGAGAAAAGAATAATATATACCGCCACTGTAACGTCTCTGGCAACTAATGCAACAATGTCAGCACATGAAACCACATCTGGGCAGGCCTTTTCTAACGCCACCTTCACTCTATCGATAATGTTGAACCCTCTTAGGCTTAGATTTGGTGGTGAAAATTTCTCGGATTGATTCGTTGGAGAATCCAGTAGGACAGATCCATCACAACCCTATAAATAGGAGAGTGTATTAGTCTTTTAAGAAGGTAAATTACGAATGCATATAGAAGGGAATTAAAATATTTTGCTGGAGTATGGTTTTACGAACCCTAATGAAGCAATCGTGGAAGTGCATTCTCAAAAGAGGGCCAGATAGAGATGGTGCTACAGCCATAACATCGCTTATAACCTTAGATACTATCACCTCGGCCTGAGGGCATGATTTCTTATAGAACCCTACTTTCAACCCTTGGCCTTCTGCATGTAAAGAAAACAGTGATAAGACTATTATTTGAAGCATGAAAATCTTGAATAAGTTCTTTCCACCAGCCATTTCTAATAGGAAAGGCTTTCACAAGTTAAACTTCTTTGTGGGATATTTGAAATGTAAACCATATCATGCCTCATTTTATAGTTTCTTAGGGAAACCCAATAATTTGAACACGATATAAATGTCGTTGTCACCACATGGCATGCATTTATATATTATTGAAATTTAAAAAAAAAATGGTTGACTTTGATGATTAACACAATGACGCCGTTTAAAAAATGATACAGATAGGAAAACTTTCATTAACGATGGTACTATTTGCTAGGGTCCCAATATTTCTTATTATATCTAGCAAACATGTACTGTATAGATGACAAGGTTAGCCATCGTCTAACTGTTTAGAACAAATCATGTTAAAAGTAAGACAATCCATGGGCAAAAAATAGTTGACTTTAGCAGGAACATGCATTCGTAAACCATTAACCTAATGCATGACCAGCGCAATATCCCAACAAGTTATAAAGAATTGGAAAAAAGAGTTGTAGAAGAATATATAAAATAAACCAAAGTAACTGTTAAGCTAATCAATGGATCCATTAAAGCAGATGGCTTTATAAAAAAACAGGGTTAGGTAAAATCTTAAAATTAAATATTCATAAATATTTCAATCACAAGTAGCAACCATACCTATTCTTTTTCTATGTATTCTATATACCCCAGTGTTCTTATCTTCTCATTTCTCTCGATCGGATGGATGGGATGCAATTTACACGGATCGAGTCATTTAGCATTAACAGCAACGGTAATAACGGCAAAATCACTATTACCGGCGGCAACTAATGTTGTCCCGTGTAATGTCATAGTGTTCGTGGTCGTTAATGCCATGCAGATCTAGAAAAAAACCTAAGGCATGCATCATTAGTTTTACTTGAAAACATTATAGAAATAATTGGATCAATGTATTAAAATAATATAACAAGTGTCACAATATACTAATTTCTAATTTTAATAATAAATATTAATTTACAAAAGTTAAAGATTCTTACACAAACTAATAAATACAATGAATATTGGTACTATTCTTTGTGTTTTAAACTTTTAAAAATGATTATTTACAGTTGTAGAACGTTTTTTTTTTATGTTTTGATGAGATTAGTAGAACTAAAAATAAAATGAAAAAAAAATATTAATAAACCTTAAGTTAATAGTTAAATCATAGATCATAATAAATATATAAACAAAATTAAAAGAATTACTAAAAGTAATCAATGGAGATGAATTGGAGATTCACTATGAAATACGGGTATTAGTGGCGACAGCCGTCGCCACAAAAGAATAGGTGTGTCGCCGCTAAAAGTATTAGTGGCGACGCGTCGCCGCAAATACGTCGTCGCTAATGTCTTTCTTGTCGCCGCTAATACTTACCTGTTGCTGCTAAAAACCTGCCGCTGCTAATACTTACATGTCGCTGCTAAAAACTCGTCGCTGATAATATTTATATGTCGCTGCTAAAAGCATCGCTGCAAAAGATTCTTTTTAGTTTTTTTTTTTTTTTTTTTTTTTTTTTTTTTTTTTACAATTTTATGGAATATAAATGTACGATTTTATAAAATCAGCTATATTTAACCCATACACAACCAAAAACAATATAACAATTATAAAATATTAATCCACAATCAAAAATATTAGTCCATACAACCTAATTAAAGTATTCTTATAAACAAACATTTCATAAAATCCAAAATTCCTACTCCTCGCCGTCACTCTCATCATTTTCTTCATTATTTGGTGATGACAATGAACGAAACCACTCTTCTAATGCCGCAGTATCGTTTGCAACATTTCGATCTTCAAAGAAATCATAATATATTACCAATATATCATAATAGTATTATATTTTTCAAAAACTAACAACATGTCATTATAGCATTATAGCATTATATTTTTCAACTTAAACAAACAATTACCTGTGATTGTGGTGGTTCTTGTGTCATCGGTTGTTCTTGATCATACATAGACACAATGGTAGGGGGTTTACGCCCGATGCCTCTAATATGTCCGCATCGAACACCCAATATTTTTTCAAAACATTTTCTTGTATCACTTGGCGTTAAACTGCATGCTGAAGAAGAAGCTTGAGTTTGTTGATTGATCTCTTGAAGTAAAGCATTCTGTATTTTCAAAAAATGATAAACATCATAAAAATATATTACTAAATACCCATGACGATATAAACACGTATATTAAAATACAAATTAACCACTTACGTATTGTTGCTCGACTGCATGACTATAAAACACCCCTTGGCGATTCGAATTAGCCTTATGGAATGCTTCAATTCGAGTGATATCATATTTAACAAAAAAAAAAAATAGATTTATTATACTTTAAATAAACATTTAAATATATCATAACTTACTTCTTTGAAACATGCATTACTATACGAGCTCGACCCCGCTCTGTTTACAACTAGTTGTTTTGCACGGACTTCTTTGTTTAATGTTGAACGACTTAAAAATTCGGGCGATTGAAAATATTTGACTACCTTCACCCAATTTTCTGGTGACATACCATTGGGGGGGGGGGGGGGGGTTGTTTAGTGCCATTGGGATATCTGCAGGCCCCCCGATATCCTTAAAATAAGAATGGGCTTTACTTTTTCAGCCTCTGTAAACTTTTGCAAGACTCGAATCAATGCTCCGCAACAATTATGCACGCTCCGGATCCAAGTTAACCTTATCCAAATCAAACTTATTCTACAAATACAAAAAAGTTAGTTAATTAAATAACAATCACAACGAATCTTAAAATATTATTCAAATAAAATATTATTCAAGTTACCTTTAAATGCATAACTGTCGCATTCCTTAACGCGAGGGAAAGATTATCCCAACCAGATACGTTTAAAGGGACGTTGTTCCACAAATACCTCCCAATTTCATGTGTGAACCAATTAGTAGGCTTCCCGACAGGGGAATATGTGATCTCCCTGTCAAAATTCAAATCCACAATCTTTCCCCTGTTTGCCCTTATCCACTTTCCTAGCACTATATTCTTTGACAAGCCCCTTCTTTTCTTTGGAAGCTTGACTGAAAAAATACAATTAAAAATGTTAGTCACGATAACTTATAATAAATAAATTAAAATAGCTATTAAATATATCATAATAAAACTTACCATCCTGTTCATGTTGCCCGCGACCAAAGCCTCCTGGAGATGGTGGATCCCCAGCTCCATCACCACCGTGACCAAGGCCTATAATATCGGCCATCACCTCCGTTACAAAACAATTTATGATTATAAATAACTATATTTCTTATAACTATATTTAATATCTAAATTAATAATCGAAAATTTAATTTAATAGTTTTACAAAGCAATTTATGATTATGAATAATTTTAAAACTAAAATACCACATAAATTTTAAATTTGTTTTGAAAATTACTCTTTTGTAATATATACACTTTGTTTTTCACACATTACATACATAGATACACACACTATACATACAAATACATATAAATATTTTCTTACACATATTCATTATAGCATCATACTTCTTTTTCTCTTATAGCAACCTAATTCCAAATAATAATCATACAAAAATCACACAAAAAACATAAAAATACCACATAAATATTAACTTTGATTCAAAAATTACTCTTTGTAATATACACACTTTTTTTTCACACATTACATACATAGATACACACACTATACGTACAAATACATATAAACATTTTCCTACACATATTCATTATAGCATCATACTTATTTTTCTATTATAGCAACCTAATTCCAAATAATAACTATACAAAAAACACACAAAAACATACAAATAACACATAAAAAATTCCGTGACAATTCATTCTAAATAATAACAATACAAATAACATACAAATCAAATATATAATCTCAAAATTCATGAAAAGGAACCTGTGGTAGTGTAATTTAGCGATTTTCCGGTAAGAAATTTAGTTTTCCGGCAACAATTCCGGCAATAAATGCGGCAGAATTAGATTTTCCGACAAGGGCTCAAAAAACATTAAATTAAACACTTAAACTAGTAAAGAAAACTTCAAAACAGAAGTTGAATAGAAAATACAGAAGAAATCGGAACTTAAATCGAACTTTTGTCGCCGGAAATAAGTGTGGTCGCCGGTAATAATGGAGCTCCACTAGTGGCCGGCGGTAATGGTTGCCGAAGACGAGTCATGTGGCGCAAACGAGGTCGTCATCGGAGGTGCAGTCACCGATTACCTTTGGAGGAGTGAAAGGAAGCAGAGTGAACAGGAAAGTGACGTAGTTGGGGCGTTATCTGCGATGAGTATTAGCGGTGACGCGTATTAGCGGCGATGCTAGGGTTTTAGCGACGACAATAGGGTATTAGCGGCGACACCCCTGGAGGGAAAACACAACGCCATTTTTCCTCATTTCCCACCGTTAGATAAAAAACAGATCGAAAGGATAGGGTTGATTTGACGCGGATCAATATTGTAGCATCATTAGTAGCGACGCCTTTAGCGGCGACACCGAGTATTAGCGGCGACATGTAACGCATCAATTACATGTCGCCGCTAATACTCAGTGTCGCCGCTAATACCGAAATTTCTTGTAGTGATTCTAATGAAAAATACACAGTGACATCGTTTAGAAAAATTATAGATGACAACTGGCTATAGTCAAACATGATCAAGACTCTTTAGAAGCGTATTTGTCCCGGAAAAGTTCACATCTTAGTGTGGAAAGCAAGGTTATAGAGGCTGCACAAAAAGGTCAACCTGGATTGATCTTCAATCGACACTTTACCCACTTTGTAACAGTAGAGTTGAGTCAAAGATACATTTGGGTGCTCGACCACAATTCAAATTCGTTCCATACTTCACATGTGGTGTTACAAAATTCCAATTGCTTTCAACTGTATTTAAACATTGTTTTAAATGGACAACAACACTACTATCACTAAAAAAAAAGTTGTTTCTGTCACGCTCATGGCCACTACCTAGGTTATTTGGAAATACAAGAATTATCACTCTTTCAACAATGCCATGAGGAACATTCAAGATCTAGCGAGTGAAGTCAAACTTTTAGCTTTCAATTAGATCAAATTTAGATGTAAGAAAGGAAATTTGTTGAATTGAAAAACTTAGTGCAATTGTTCGACTAGAGAATGTTTGAACTTGTTGTAATTCTAGCTTCTCGCCAGT